GGGGGGGGGGACAAGATTTACAGTCACACTGCAGGTATTAATCTGATCTTCTCTGCAGGGGGGGGAGGGGGTCACACACCCCATAACTCTATGGCCACCAACTATAAAGTGAAACAGATGGGACTTCTCGTTTCTTCCGCCCCCCGCCCCCCGCCTTTCCATTGGGCAGCAAAATATTCAGGCACTCGCCTACTCTCTAGCTTCCTTCGTCCTTAAAATACCCTCCAATTCCAACACTTTTCGGCTAGGAGGGCTTCTTTGCTCCTCTGGCCCTGTGTTCTAATCCTACCCCTTCTTGCAGCCCGACGCCCTGGGAACCAACGGGTTCTGATCCAGGCTTCCCGAGAGCCTGAAGCAAACTCAACGGTCCCGACAAAAACCTCCTTTTATTAATTGGCTGTGAATTCTGCTCCTTCACCTCCAGCAAAGTCTTTCGAGGGAGGATTTATAGTCACAGACCTTATCTGGCTTGGAGAGCTGCCAGGCCGATCTCTGCAAAACTCTTGGCAACGAGTCTCGGAGGGTTATGAACCAATGTAGTGAACTAGTCGTCTCCTGCAAACTCCACTCCCCTTTCGCTCCTCTCTTATTTCCTCTGGGAGGGGCCATTCATCGTCCATCTGTGGTCTCACTCCCAAGTCGACCCCTGATCTTTAGCTGTTCCCTTTGTCTGGCAACTCTGCACACTGGGAACAGGCTCCAGCTGTTCCTCTGCCTCACTGATGTCTGACTCCGAAGGCAGCTGATAACTGTCAGGCAGCCCTGGCCCCCTCTCTGCCTCCGACACAGACCCCTCATCCGAGCCTCCCCCAGACTCCAGGACCAACCCATCTTCCTCTCCAACCTCCTCACTGTCCAAATCTGCAGCCAGATCCGCTGACGGGCCACAGCCCAATGCGAGGTCACCCTTCCAAATAATAAATATGAAAAATAAAATGCAATCAACTTTTAAAAAAGGGGATCGATGCAGTTTCTATAATGGGCGCTTTGGCTTTGGGTCTCTTCACGGGAGTAAATACTTTCCCCCCACCCACCCCCCGTGTTGTCCGCCCCCCACCCCCACCCCCGGAAACCTGCCTGCAAAGATATTAGAGGATCTTAACTCCGCAGTGGCTAAA